AATCGATGCTGCAGCGTTCCGAGCGGCTAGTACGTCTGCCAGGATAGCCTCAGTAGTTCGGATGAAATCGCGGTCTGCAAAAACACGTCAAACGGCTGCCCAGTCAAGGTAGAAGGACGCCGACTTGCCAAAGAGCACGTCCGCCTCGTCAACAATGATCCATTCCACCCTGTCGAGGCTTATCCGGCTTTCTGGTTTGCCAATGGCCTTTCCCTTGAAGGCCTCATCCCAGGTCCTCTGTGAACCCGGTATGACAGTCCTATCCTCCAGTTCCACGCCACCGGAGAGACTCAATATCTTTGACGGCGTGCCTACCAGGATGTCCAAGAGCCTGTCACCATCGCCGGAACGCGGGTTCACTCCAGTCTCATTCCATGGATCGGCCTTGGTCACCCGATTCGGATTGGAGGTGCATCGGATGCGGAGCTTGATGTTGTGGCTCAGCGCCTTCGCGAAGGTCGAGATCTGTCGCGAGAGCTCGTGCGTTGGGGTGAGAATGATAGCCCGTGGTCCGACTGTCACCCTCGGCGCGATCACTGCCCCTTCTACAATCTCCGTGTCAGCTGTGGCCGGTGGCTGTTGTGTATCTGTGAGATCAGAAGCGGCCTGATGGATCTCCGTCTCTTTCAACCCCTGGAGTACGGGTAAAAGGTACGCGACGCTCTTGCCCGAACCAGTCTCTGACGCTAACAGCGTGGGATGGCCCTTGGCGGCAGAATTATCCGCGGCATCGGCATCCTTGGGGAGAAAATGCGCGATGGATAGTGCTTGGATAGGCGTTGGCTTGGCGTACTTCCCGACCAACGACTTCAAAGAATCCAACAGGCCAGGTAGGAGAGGTGGTGCCCGAAAGCTGGGCTCCACTCTAGGGCGCTGCGCAAAATCTTCCGGGTGTGAAAGCTCTGTCTTAAGCTTTGTCCGTAAGTCTGTCTGGTGAGGATACCTCTTTGGTGCCACTTCTGGCTCGGGTTTTGTAGAACGATCCACCTTTCGGAACCTCGATGTCCCTGTGAGAGGTATAGTCGACGGGTCCGGCCGCTTCGTCCTACGCAGATACCTCTCATTGGCCGCGGCCTGGGAGGGTAGCTTCTTTGGCGGTGGGGGCTCTGGCTCTGTTGCGGAGCTTCGCAGCGGACGACGTTCCGCATCTCCAGATTGGCCTGTCTCGGCACGTTCTGGTCGACCAAACCTTGAAGGTGAGCTACGTTCATCCTCTCCATACTGTGTCCTCTCAGGCCGTTCCTGCCGGCTAAACCTTGAAGTACCCGCGCGAGGCTCTCGCCAACGAGGTTTTTCGTCCATCGTGGATGCACGCCAGTTAGACTTAGGTTTCTGACTACGCGTGTCCGTTCGTGGTACACCCCGAGGCTTGAAGCTTGCCGCGTATGATCCCCCTTGAGAGCGTCGTGGTTGGCTGCCAGTACTTGCTCGCGGTTTAGAGTGTGGCCGCTTCCCTCTCAATTGATCAAGTCCTGTGAGACGTTGACGCGTCGGTGTACTTCTAAGAGCTATAAAAGCGTATCAGGAGGTGTCAATTCAGTATTCAGTGAGACGTACCGTACGTTTTGGGGCCCTTGAGGAGGCTGAGGACTTGGAAGATGTGCCGAATTGTGAGGCCGAGATTGGCAAGGACGAGCGAGATAGAGACCCAGGTAAAGGAGCGGCATTTAAGCGTAGTGCGTTAAGATGGCTAGGGCATTTCTGCACCGAGCCAAGCAGCCTGTTCAGCATGACAAGACGTTCGGGAGGAGTGGCAGATTCAAAATCAAGGTCAAGTTCAGAACGTGAGACTATTGAATTTGACGTCGCCTTATACTCTCTGACGATGTCTTCTGACGCGAAACAGCAGGAGATTGAGCACCGTATCACACTCTTGGAGAGTGAGCTCAGATCTGCGAAGGCAGAGCTCGAGGAATACAAGAAGGCACAGCATAGCGACTTACAAACGCCTCAGGGTTTACCGTTCGCCCTGCCTGATTACCACCGGTATGGCAGGCAAATGATATTGGACGGATTCGGCCTTCCTGGTCAGTTGGTTTAGTCTCTTTTGATTCACTAAGAGCTGAATATCCTTTTACGAAAAGCTCAGATCAAACTTAGGGATGCATCGGTCGTTGTGGTTGGAGTTGGTGGTCTCGGTTGCCCTGCGATTCAGTACCTTGCAGCTGCTGGCGTTGGTATGTTTTTCGCAAAAATGGATTATTGTTTTCTACATGCTTATTATGAGGTCAGGCAAGCTCGGTATCGTGGATAATGACTTTGTTGAATTGTCCAACTTGCAACGCCAAATTCTGCATTGCGATGCTACGATTGGCTGGCCGAAGGTCGACTCTGCAAAACAGGCTGCCGAAAGGTAAACACTACCAAGGATCTTCAATGCAGATTACCGCTCAGCTATATTCGTACTCCAGGATTAACCCTCGGATCTCTGTCGTCCCACACAACTGCTCGCTCAACTCTACAAACGCAAGAGACATCCTGGCCGGATATGATATTATTCTTGACTGCACGGATAACCTTCCAACTCGGTATTTACTTTCAGATACCGCGGTTCATCTCGGCAAACCACTGGTGTCTGGCGCGGCGCTCAAGTTTGATGGTCAACTTTGCGTGTACAATCTCGGACATGATGCCCCTTGCTATCGTTGCATATTCCCCAAGCCCTCACTGACAGTTGATGGGAGCACTTGCGAGGCTGTCGGGGTTCTGGGTGTCGTGACGGGAACGATCGGGACCCTACAAGCCATGGAGGCCATCAAGTTATTGACTGATACTCATGGCACGTATCCTCACAACGATATACAAGATCACGACGAAAGCTAAAGCTATCTTCCCAGACAAGGTGCCAAGCCTTCTCATCTTCTCTGCCTTGGCGTCGCCACACTTCCGGCCTGTGAAGCTGCGATCCAAAAGACCGAACTGCATTGCATGCGGCAATGGTCAATCAGGGCTGAAAAATAGCACTCTTGAGCTGGACTACGTCGCTTTTTGTGGAGGAGAGCATCCAGATCCAGCGGAAACTGGTGCCGTCGTGAAAGCAATGCGCATCAAACCCAAGGTATGCGTTGGGGTCATAATCGAAGAACGTTTCTCAGCAGATCTTCCCTGCAGGATTTGTCAAATATCATCACTAGTCGCAACGAAGCCGCATCAATATTAGATGTTCGTCCTGCAGCGGAGTTCTCGATATGTCGTATCCCTGGCTCCATAAGTAAGCTCCAAGACACCGTGCTTCACAATGCGACTGAACTGGCATCACTTTAGATGTCCCGATGGCTGCTCTCTTGCGAGACCCTTTAGCTCATGTGTCATCCAGTGGAAACACCTTCGTCGTGTGTCGACTAGGGAACGACTCTCAGATTGCAGCAGATGCCATACGCCTGGTTTCACCACCAGGTTGCGAAGTCAAGGATCTTATTGGAGGACTTCAAGCCTGGAGTCGAGAGGTTGACAACGGATTCCCAGTGTATTGATATATTCCATGGGAAGCGACGGCAACCACACAACGACTATAGTCCGCGAAAACTATCCACATATGTGCACTATCGGATTACCTAAAGGTGCAAGAGTGAGCAGGTGAAAAGATAGCCTTATAATCCGCGCCGCATCCAGTAAGCTGGACCGAACACATCATACTGGGTCCGCTGCCAGGGTGTTCACGTCGGCCTTCTTCCGCTTCGCCTCTATGAGCTTCCGTCGTTCTTCCAAATCTCTCTTCCGTTTCTCCCCAGCTCGACTCAACACCTTCCCCTCCGGCTGACTCGATATATCAGGTACATCGGCACCAGCGGCCTGCCGCTCTTCCACGGTCTCGTTTCGTGCGGCTTTTAGTTCTTCCATCTCCCTCCGTCTCGTCTCTTCGTCAGCGCTGAATTGATAGAAGCCTGCTCCCTTGGAGCGATTGTCCCTTGAGGCGTCATAATGCTGCAAAGGGTCTTTGAGGGATTCTTGTAGATCGGCGTTGATCTTCTCAAGTCGAGCTGCGGACGGCTCATAGGTCGGGAAGTGACCTTCGGGGTTATCTATATGTCGCAAAAAGTAAGTTATCTTCGTATTGATATACCTGAGCCCTCACAGATGATGTTCGGGCTATACATATGGTTAGTTAGGTAGGTATGATATGACATAAAGATAGTTGCACTCACTCGTATTCCTGCTCTTGTTCTTCGACCTCTGGCTCCCTGAGAAACTCGCGAGGTACTTCGCTTCGTCGGGCAGTCCGGGCGCGGCCATACTCGTCCTGATATTCGACTATTGGATCTTCCGCATCCTTGATAAAAAAACGACTCAGTCAGACGTGGCACCCCACAAAGCGCTGGTTGACGAAGCTCACGTCGTCTCGCGGCGGCTCAGGAACGGTCAATGATTCATCCACATCATCCTCGTTACTCTCAAATGATTCTCCTGCTTCTGCCTTCTTGTCAAACTGGGGAGCAAAAGAAATCAGTTCGTACGCTATTGACTTTAACTTTGAGCCCACTGACGTCGACTAGCAATGCATCGTACTGCTTCTCGTTGATCCCACCATGAAGGCCCTTCTGAAGCTTCTCGTAGATCTTGCTCTTTCGCTCTAACGCTGCTCTTGCGGACTCGACAGTTTGCTGACTGACTTCTTCGAGTTCCATGTCCCTAGCAGAGCGCTCGGCGACTCCTTTATTTTTCTTGGCCCATACGGAAGGTTTCTACGAAGCTCCACGCAAGAGTCAATACCCAACGATTGAAAGCCCCGATGAAAGGTCTCACCTTGTCCGCCCGTTTCACACCACCGACGATGGGCTCAGCTCGGCCCTTACCGCTGTCCTTGGCTTTCTTGAACTCGTTCTCCTTCTTGAATAGCTCCGATTTGAGGTCCAAAAAGGAAGCAGATGAGATACCTCGGCCTTTGCTCATAAGTGGTGTCCCGTGCGTGGAGGATGTGTGATCCCACGTCGATGATTTTGAAACCACGGTCAGGACTAAGATATAGATATAGTAATGCAACAGATCATCTATTCATACTAGCCCTTATAGCTCAGTGGTAGAGCGCGTCACTAGTAGTCCTTAAACTACAAATAATAATGACGAGGTCGATCGTTCAAGTCGGTCTGGGGGCAGTTCTTTTGCTCCTTCTATAGCATCGACGATGATCTCGCCCATTTCTTTCTAAGAAGCCCAAGGCGCGCAGTCTGGACAGAGGTAGGAGCCGAAAGTAGAAGAATTGACATAGCCTGCATATGCTTCAGAGGTGAGCCTTTCGTTCCTTTCGACTTACCTCCACGTGTAGGAAAAGACGTGATGACTGACGTCACACATCTTCGATACCGAGGACACGTCTCTTCCTATGCGCTTCGACCGGAATGTACTGGGATGAATATTTGGTGATCCTCCACTGCTTACCGTGGCTTCAAACATTCACCTCGGTTGCTGACCGGATCGGTGGTCGCCGTGAGTTCTCAACTTCCAATCTATTACTCACACTGGAAGTGGCTACCTGTATATCCGCCTCCACCCCGAATCAACCACTAAGTATGACGCTTGAAAACACCAGTGATGCTAGTAGCTATAAGTACTGGGTCTGGGTTGGCTAAATTGTCGGTCAACAGCATCTCTTATATCCACATCCACAGTACTCTTATCACTCTTCTCATATATCATATCTCACTCTCAGTAATCAATGGCGATCGCAACTACCTATCAGCCTCGACCTGCTCGCGGAGCTACCTTTATGGCTCAGACATTCGGCATTCCCGTACCACCGAAAGCAGAGCTCAACATGGAAGACTATCGCGCAAACAGCTTAAACCAACCTCCTCGCTTTAGAGATGCTCTCAAGACTGGTGAGTACAATAATTTAATACTTGGTTTAGGCATATTCCTGATCTGGAATGCTCTATTCAGGTGTGGTCTTGCTTGGGACGGGACTCATCCTGCCAACCGTGCAGGCCGCTAAGATCACCGCCACGCTCGGCTTCGACTGGGCCTTCATCGATGCGGAGCACACACCCATGAGTCCCGACTTGATGACGGATCTCATCAAGACCATCAACTATTACTCTGAAGGGGCTACGGCGGCCGTCGTTCGGGTGCCTACACATGGTCATGAATGGATCACTTGGGCACTGGACGCAGGCGCGGCGGCCATCATCCTTCCTCACGTTAGTTCCATCTCTTGAATATCAATAATCGACAATTCCTTGACATCTCTTCTCTCCCATGTAGACTGAGACCGCCGAACAAGCCCGACACGCCGTATCTGCTGCCCGCTTCAGTCCCATCGGCGACCGATCCTTCCCGCCATTCCCCCAGGTATACGGCTTCACCGACGGCACCCCAGAGGGCAGCTCCTTACTTGATGTATACAACAACAATGCTGCGATCATCATGCAGATAGAGTCCGACTTTGGGGCGAGGAACGCCGAGGAGATCGCCGCGGTTCCAGGAAGTGGGTCGCAACTCTGTATTAGGGCTATTTGGTTTCTAGCTGACTTTAATTCATCTCTGCAGTTGACGGTATTATGGTTGGCACGGTCGATCTCCGGCTTTCTATGCGTCTCCCTGTCGGGTTTGGAGGTCACGAGCCCGAATTCATCGCTGCAGTGGATGCTATTGAGACCGCCGCTAAGCGCAACGACCTCTCCCTCGTCGCATTTGGGCTGGGTCCTGCACTGGAGGCCAAGGCACAGAAGGGGTATACGATGTTGATGATCTCCGCCGATCTATTGGCACTCATCGCGGGGCAGGCCGGAAGCTTAAAAGCGGGGAGGGAGGTGATAAAACAGCTTAAGGAGGAAAGGAGTCAGAAGAATGGGGTTACCGCTCAAGATCTCTAATTAACTCTGCGCTACTCCGAGCTCATTGTACATATTTCGGGATGCTCGGATACGTTGCATATCACCAACACTTAATCTAGTATACACTATTACCCTAGTCATAAATTCACCCCTTGACATTATACAGTCTGTTCTATCCACCAGCTCACGGTTCCGACCGTTGAGATCCTTACAAGACCCCGATTTTAATGTTAATAACACCGCCTCTCTTCGACGTTGAATACTCTCCGATCGCAGAAGCCTTGAAAGAGGTCTACGAGGGATGATCTAACACAAAAAGGCTCATGGGGTTACCTTGGCTTGTTTGAAGCATCTTGAAGCGCCAATGAACGAAGCAAGTAGTTAGGTACTGCAGCTTACTGTTTTTAAGCAAAGCAAACTTCGAATGCATAGGTGTCGTATGAAGGACAGAATCAGTTGATCTAAGTGAGAAGAGTAATTCAGAATCCCCGAGAAGGCAGTCGCTTCTTCTGAAACGACTGGCATACATTTCGAAACAAGTGAACCCAAGAAGCAGTCGATTGCCCATATTGAAGGAATTGAATAGGAAGTCCGATCCCTGATCGCAGGTAGGGATCGTGCAATGTTCAAGTTAAACCGCCTAAGTATCCGAAACATGTTAGCATGGCCTTTTATCAGCACGCGAAAGAATGAGAAGACCCACAGATTTCGAAATGGGATCACAATGCATGCATCCTCCGATACACCACTCACAGCCCTCCCTACCCGCATCAGCCACGACATCTACTGCCACTTTCCCTCTATCTGTATCCAGAGCTGGGTTTGAGACGCCTCCTCGTGGATCACGATCTGCCCGAGGGATCTTTTTAAGAAGGTTTCGCAGCCCGAACTCCTGATCTGCTTGGCTGTTAGCTAGAGCAGCGTGCTCTACAAAGCGAGCCACGAGATCGGGCCGTATGGGCACCTGCATGATAACCACATCACCCAGCTTGATCTCTACCATCTCTTGGCCGCTGTAATCACTTAGCCAAGCGACAAAGGCTTTGAGGGTCTTTGATAACGTCCAGTTTGACAGCTGGGAGTTGTTCAATCCATCGCCATCGGTGTCCACTGTCGCGTCCCACGTATCGAGGAACAGAAGTCCCGCACACTTCTTCTCGACAATAGTCCAAGAGTTCCGCAGTTCTTCAGGAACAGTTTCTATCCATCTATCCTCCAGCACCTTTCGCATGGTCAACACGAACCAGTCCAACAGCCTTCCTTCGTCTATCTGCCGTAATGCTTCACGGCCTGACCTGATCCTTGAGGTGTACCACAAAACGCCTAGCGCCGTGCAGCTAGACCCACTGGGATAGTTGTCGTGAGGGATCTCGATTACTGAGTCCCATGCCTCGGGTGCATTTCTGGGCGCGCTTGGGATGGTCGGAGTGTCACCAATTACTAGTAGCCGGAGGAATGACTCGAAGGCAGCCCATGATTGATCAGTAGGGACTGAAGGGCGCAGCCAGACGAGCAGCCGCAGAGTGGACGCGAGAAGAACAGCTACAGCCGGGCCCTTCTGCAGGAGAAGACGACGGCTCTCGACTGCGAGCTCATCATCTGATTGTGATCTTAGTACCTCGGTGAAGATACTGTAGACAATTCCTTGTAGGAGATTCTCCTTCTCTGAGATCGTTCCAACACGGCGAGCAAGGAGAGCTGAGTTGGCGAGATCTATCGGGTTTATACTCCCCCATGTAGTTGACGTCAGCAAAAGTTGATGCAGTGTCCTGACAACCTCCTTCCGACAGCTTACAACCTCCTCTTCAAAGCTTCCAATCAGATTTGTAAAGGAGTCCATTATAAGGAGACGCTCGATACTCGAGTTCAAGCTAGAGTGCATTTCTCTGATCGATAAGAGCGGCGGATTTGATGGTGGGAGGACTTCTAGCCATACGTCGGATGAGGTATACAATCCGTGGAAATATTGGAGAAGCCGTTTTTGGCAGCGAAGGAATGTAGGGAAAGTGTCAGGATCCTCAGTGGCGTAGTGACGGGAGAATTCGTTAAGAGTGTTAACAAGATGCATGATCAGCGATCTACTCCTAAATGAAGAAGCGATCAAAATATGTTGCCGGATTACTAGCCGGAAGAAGGAACTTACTCTTGTACGGTCCAAGTGGACCTCAAGTTCGTGCTGTCGTCAAGTGATGGATGACCGTTCCGAGGACCCCAGAGCGGATACCACCTTAGGATGGCCAGCAGGGCCTCTATTACCCTCGAAAGGTGGGCAGAATCAGGTTGGAGCCCATCGAACAGGAATAGGTCGGTCAGTTCTTCAACTAATTCTCCCATGACCACTCCATCCCATTTATTATAGGCGGCTGTGACAGAGCAGTGACGGAGCCAGATGATGGCCGCGGAGTTGAACTGACCGCTTCGGAGCATTGCAGCTGAAGGGGGCAAGTTCCTATCGCGTAGTAACGCTGCGCTACGGAGTTCGTAAGGGTACGACTCCCCCCGGCAGATCGTACCTTCGTTGTTATAGTAACCTATTCGAGCTAATTTGTAAAATGTCCGAACACAGCGAAGAAGCATATCGAGCTCGATTGGCATCGGCTGGAGATAACGGCCTTCTGCGTTCTCCTGTTCATCTAAATCCGATAAGCACTTCCAAACCGCATTTGCAGTTCGCTTTGGGTCTGCGAGCACGACATGAGCGACAGCATTGGATAAAGTCGCTATGTTGGCCAGCTCAATCCCCTGGCTGCCACGTCGAATATCTAGGACTGATTTTTGAAGATGAGATAACAGGGTTTGTAATGCGTTGCTCGTGCCGATGAGTCGTACGGCCTCGATATCGGATATCAGTGGAATGTTGTCGGCTACAGTAATGATATTATCTGTATTTGATGCAGATTCTGCCATCAGGATTGCCGAGCGTGCATGGAGAGAGCTCATGTTTCCTTCGCCGAGTTCGGAGTGACGGGGGATTCGTTGCCGAAGGAATGGAATGATGAGAACGAAAACAATGTAGGTGGGAATCAAGAGTGGGAGTATCACGAAGGCTATAAAGAGGCCGAGCAGCACGATTGAGGTGGCTATTCTGACTAGGTTGGACGCCCCGATGTGAGCCGTAATCCAGTCCATGATATCCTCGACATGAGATTCGAATGGAATGTTGTCCATCCATTGTGAGTGAATGTTGGGTGAGTATAGTAAACGCTGGATCATGAGGCAGGACCGCCTCAAGGCGACTGACGGTCCAGTTTGGAAAGGACATGTCGGGAAGATCGCAGCTAGCACGATCATGAGGATATAGAGCAGTCCCCCTAGGACTGCGA